GTCACTTACTCAGAGAAGCTTCCTCAGATCTCCCTGAAAGGTCAGGCCCATTTTCACCTGTGTAGTGAAGAATTTAGGCTCGCCTAAGAGAGGCCTGGCCCTGGCCGTTGGCCCCGGGGTGGTGACCTCTGAGCTCCTGAGGAGCATGCCTGGTGAAGCGTCTGTGTTCACCTGGGGGTTGGGCACCACGCAGACAGCCTCACAACGTGACTGGGGTGGGTTCTGGATCCACAGCTCAGGCTCCATGGGGCTGGAGACTGAGGGCCAACAAACACTGGATACCAGGAACCAGCTGAGGCGGCCTGAACACCGCGCCCTCGGTCACAATCACTGCCGGTGGCGTTGGCGCTGTCTGTGACCCCCTGGGAGAAGCCAGCCAGAAGCAGTGCAGGGAGAACGCTCCTGGGCTCTGGCCCACGCGTCTCTTCACACGGCTGAGTTTAACGTGTCCTTTCACTGTAATAAAGCTATCGTGTGACTATAACAGTTTATTACATAGCCTATGGTGAGGTCTGGGTCTCTTTCTAACAAATTACAGAACCTGAGGATGGTCTTGGGGACTCCCCAAACTGGCAAGCATCAGAAGGGAAGGTGGACTGAAGACCCAAAACTCTGCAGTCAGTGTCCAAAGTGAGCGTAGTCTTAATAGATTATTTTCAAACTTCACAAGATGGTTCACTCCATGCAGCACTTTTTTCCACTATAGTTTTTCATTTCACTGCTTAACCAATCTCCTCCACAACACCCTGGAGGGCAGGGATGCTGGCTGTAGCTTGTCTCCCAAGCAACTGTCACAGTGTCTGGCACATTGCAGACACGCAACTGATCTTCCCTGAAAGACTGAAGAGGCAGAGTCACACACACACCCAATACCACCACAGCATGACCTTAACAATACAGCAAACAGGACTCAGCTTCTCATTCATGAAACAGTAACAAGGCAACAATGTTCTGCAGAGAAGCATTATCAAAAAGGTCATTCCTGGATCCTTAAACACAAATTCTAATTGCCAGAAGACAATTTCTTTTCTCAATATTTTGTTAATCAATGACCCACACACCTGCATACTTTTAATTACAGCATATGATTAGCGTAAGACAGGCAGTAACATTCTCTAAATTGATGCTACTCCATACAGAAATAACAAAACTATATATTTAGTTAATCTATGTGACCTTATCACAAATAGATACAATTTTAATTTAATTTTTAAAATGTCTGAAAATATTCCTCAGAGTCCAGATTACAAATCATTACTATAAGCTCGTGAAGCCTAGAACCAAGGTTTATATATTAGGTAATATATACTATAAAAGTTCTCACACAGGCTCATAGGATACATATGTCAAAGGAACTGATATTAATGTTGAATTACTGACCAGGAACTATTGGCACAGTACAGAATAAAAAATATGACATCACTAGGAAATCACTAATCTGGAATATTAGTAAACATGGCAGTAGTAGTGTAATACAAATAAACATTAAATTATACTAAGTTAGAAATGCAATACAGAACTAGAAAAATATCACAGGACTCCATTCAGAAAGTATAAATTCATCTTTAGTAAATTCATACTTTAGTAACATTTTTTTCTTTATAGAGGGTTTTCTTATACCTTAAAAAAAACACCCAGGCCTCTATAAGTCAGACATCATTAGTGTTTTAGTGTTAGTGAATTCCAGTGCTCTTTAATTACAATATTCTTTCTACATTTATTGGATACTGACCATGTGCCAGGAACTATACATGAAAACAAAACACCTGACTCCCGGGTTTACAATTTAGTATGGAAGAAATATAATTAAATAATAGACATACACAAAGAAAAACATCTTGAAAAATATAAATTGTTTTAAGTTGTTATCTCTGCAGTAGGGATTATAAGGGTCTTTATTTTCTACATCATACAATCATTATGCTTACATTTTTGTATAATGGGTATACAGTCTGATATACCTTTAAAAAATAACAAAAACGTTCTTAAAAATTAGAAAAATCACTTGAAGGATGAAATTATCTGTCCCCTACGTCTTCTGTACTATCTAGAATATCACACACTATGATTATATTATTATAATTATTGTAGTACAATGGTACTTACATAAATACAAAATATTACAACTCATAAATGGACTATCTGCGTCACATTAGAAGAATCTCAAAATGTTTATCCTTAAGAAGTGAGTTTAAAAATTACAGGACACTTATATTAAGAAGGACGACAGAGGATGAGATGGTTGGATGGCATCACCGACTTGATGGACATGAGTTTGGGTAAACTCCGGGAGTTGGTGACGGACAGGGAGGCCTAGCCTGCTGCAGTTCATGGAGTCACAGAGTCAGACACGACTGAGCAAATGAACTGACCAAACTGGCTATACTAAGAATGCTTTTAAAAGAAGTGGTGGTGTGATATGGGATGAACTTCAAGGTAGCAGTGCCTAGGTTTGCACCCAGCTCTGCCACTGACTAGCAAGCTCTGCCACTAACTTGGGCAAGTTTCTTAATCTCCATGGGACTCAGTTTCCACATCTGTAAAACCACATAGGGTTGTGAGGATCAGTTACTACAAGTAAATTAATAATAAAAAATAAGATATATATAAGTACCTAATAAGACTTCAATATGTTATCTAATACTGTTAGGTGCACTGAAATGGAACAAAATCAAATTTTAAGTGAAAAAAGAAGCAAAATATTCTGCACAACAGTCCAACTTCAGTTAAAAAACTGATAATAAGAATGTGTCAACAGATGCATAGAGAATGTGGGAGGTAGGAAACCACAAACCTGGGCTTTAGACCTGGGTTTAAATTCTGGATCCACCATGTACTAGCTGTGGGACCTCAGCCAAGTAGGTTTTTCTAGGCCTCAATCTCTTCGTCGGTGAAATGAGGGTAAGAACCTCACAGGGCTGCTGCCAGGACTGAATAAATGGTGCAGTCTAAAGCACGACATCTGGCACACAACAGGAATGGTGAGCACTGGCTTCCACTGGTGCCGTTATCATGACAGTAGTAACACATCAAAGAGACGGGCCCGTCGTACCCACCATTGTGCCCCTAGTAGCTAAAGTCAAGTCCAGCACAAAGGAAGTGCTCAACAGCTGTCTGACGATTAAATGAATGAGTCAAACTGTTGGGAGGGGTGAGTAGACACAGGTGTATATTCATTCCTCATGACATTGCTGTAACTTAAGTACTTTAACTACACAATGATAAAATAATGTTTTTCTAATCCTTGAAGTAAAGCAAGAAAATTCTACTTTCTCTAAAAACACTCAGTTCTTAAAAGCTGGGAGGAAAAGAAAGAAGTAATAAAAGAAGAGGAAAAAGAAAAACAAGTTACTAACTGAAATAGGAAACGTCTGGTTAAAAGGGCAGTAATGAGAATTAGCAGTTTTATTGTTTCCACCTTGCTAAAGGTTTAACAGTTTATCTTTTGAGTCTTAGAAAGAAATGCTATTTTCAAACAAATGCAATCATCTTTAGCTCAGATTTTATATATTAATCAAGCCTCTTTCAGCATTCTCTTTTCCAGCTGTTCCAAACAATGGACTCTAAAATATTTAGGCATCTAATAATGTTGTTTAAATGTTTATTGTATACATTACAACAGCAGTTCTCAAAATGGGATACATGGACCCCTGGTTTTCCCCTGCTTTCATATTGGCACTGCAGCATAATCACAATCGTGGGTAACACTGCTGGTATTTTATTAAGATACCTAGGCAGTGGCACTGAATTCTTTCACTGACACATAGGCATAATTCTAAAAACTAACAAAACAAAAACCAGTTTGTACTGAAGAATGTCTTTGATAAAACAGTAAAAATTATTTTTATTGCATTTTGACCTCAGAGTACAATTCTTTAATATTTGCTGAGTGAAACAGGAAGTACAAATAAAGCACTTCTACTATAAACCAAAATATGCCAGTCAATTCCAGAAAAGGCACTCTTGTTACTGTTTGAACTGTTACCTAAGTTTTCTCCAGGAACATCATTTTTACTTGAAAGGACATATGCCAGATAAATTGTTGTTCAGGCTATATCTGGCAGATATTTTCTTGAAATGTGTGAATTGAGTTTGTCACTTCAAGGAAAACACCTGATAATATTTGGTATCCTTGATAAAATTTGAATTTTCAAGTGAAAACTAGAATTTTCTAAGACTTAGATCCACCACTGTGAGTTTAAAAGTTTCATGATACTTAACAATTTTTCTGATGATACAGATGATAGTATTAATCAATGTGACTTGTTATAATGTGTATACTCATATATACTAACATTTACAAAATCAAAATCAGTTGGTAAATTTTCAAAATGACCAACGCATGTTATCAGATGCTATAGGAGTAAGGATTTTAATAAAATGAAGTACAAAGTTTACCAATATGAGTTCAGATTTCACATTGCAACCAATCTTTAGAAGAGGAACATTTTTGGAGTTTTGATATGATATCAAAGAATATCCATAATTGCCTGGAAAAGAAATGAACATACTCCTCCCTCCTCAACTATGTACATGTGTGAGACTAAATTTTCTTCATATATTTCAACTGAAAACAAGCCAAACAAAAACATTGCAATAGACTGAATAAAGCTGATAGGAGAAGCCACCTGTGGGCTATTAACCCAGACATTGAAGAGGTTTACAGAAATGTAAAGCAATGCAGTCTTTTCACTACTCTTTTGCTTTGGTAAATATACATATGTTTTATTTTAAAAATGTTATCAATTATAAAATTTACTCTGTAATACTAATATTACAATTAATATTTTAAATGTCTCAGTTTAATATCTAAATGATAAATATTAATAAATAAAATTCAGATAAAGAAGATCTTTTGGGATCTCAATAATTGTAAGAATGTAAAGGAATCCTAAGACAAAGAAACTTGAGAACTGCTACACTAGAGACACACAGGTGGAAAAGAATCCTGTTTATAAAAAGTGTTGCTCTTGAGACTTCAAAGTGTCCAAGGACCATACCTGCTTGGCAAAAAAGATTGTGTCCAGTCTGGAGTCCTGAACCACAGAGCCTGCTGGTTCTTCTCCTGGTTGCCACTTGAAAAGAAAAATCAACCCATGAACTGGCCTACAAAATAAAATACAAATTAGTGACACCAAACCCTGCTTCCTATATGTGCTATGCTTAGTCACCCAGTCACGTCCAACTCTTTGTGACCCCATGGACTGTAGCCTGCCAGGTTCCTCTGTCCATGGGATTCTCCAGGCAAGAATACTGGAGTGGGTTGCCATGCCCTTCTCCAGGGGATCTTCCCAACCCAGGGATCAAACCCAGGTCTCCCGCATTGTGGGAAGATTCTTTACTTCCTATAAACCATTGTCAATATATTAAGTTTTAGTCATTTACTTAAGAAATACAGTGCAAATGAAGTAAATGTGGGAAAATTTTTTACGATTTCTATTGCTACTCATAGTTACTAGAATGCCGCCCAAGAAAAGGCTAACAAAACTTAAAATTACATCAATTAAAATAGAATTATAATGAAAGGTATATTCTTAAATCTATGGATTATTCAGTTCTACCTTTTATCACCCTCACTTAAAAACAGAATGAACATTGCAAAATTAGAAGTTGTTAGCCCTAGAGTGAATTCTAATATACAGGAACAAAATTCACGTAGGATGCTTACAGATAAATCAGCTGATGGCATATATACTGCAAACTATGTAATTATTGGATGGATGCTGCATCTCACACATAATAGTTACCCACTTCCCTACAATGGTTGTTACCACTAAACAATTAAATCACCACGTGAGGAGTCTCTCCAGTTTTTCACCACTACATTCCACGTAACAAATTCTTTCCTATTCCGCAAAGACAGGTTAAATGATACACTTTTAATTAACCTTCCCTGATCATCCTCTTACTCCATCTAAAATGATTGTTCCTTTTGTGCGGAAGGAGAAAATGGGAGGGGGGGTTAAACTATTTCCTTACTAAAGATATTAAAAGCATATCCCTAGAGTCCCCATTCCAGGACTCTAAGAATGCTCCCCACATTGAAAACTCTTCTAGCCTTCCATCTGTAATAGAGGGTTGGTGCTTGTGGACACAGAGGTTTCAGGGCTAGGGAGAGACCCAAGACAAGTGACTCCAGTGAGAAGGACGGGGTAAGAGGAAGGTACTTTCAGGCATCAACATTTGGAAATTGAACTGACACCTCCCCAAGAGGCAATGTAATAACGTAGGGGAAAAAAGTTCTGAATTATTATCAATATGTTAGGTTAGCCAAATACATTATCTATTAAATAGAGTTTTGTAGACTGACCTATTATTCATGTGTTTTGTGTTTGTGTTAAAATTTGTTCCACATTCTAACACTATTGATCTATAAAGTGAATGTTGTTAAAAAAAAAAAAGTTGACCAATCAGTACTTTGTTGATATGAAATTATACAGACCTAGTTTTGAATCCCTTGTGAATTACTTATCTATGATCACTGGGTTCTTGGCTATAAAATAGGAATAATATCGACCTTTTTCTGTTTTTAAAAGTCGCCCAATCGTGTCTGACTCTTTGCGACCCCACAGACTATACAGTTCATGGAATTCTCTAGGCCAGAATACTGGAGTGGGTAGCCTTTCCCTTCTCCAGGGGATCTTCCCAACCCAGGGATTGAACCCAGGTCTCCCACATTGCAGGAGGATTCTTTACCAGCTGAGTCACAAGGGAAGCCCAAGAATACTGGAGTGGGTAGCCTATCCCTTCTCCAGGGGATCTTTCTGACCCAGGAATTGAACCGGGGTCTCCTGTATTGCAGGTGGATTCTTTACCAACTGAGCTATGAGGGAAGCCCCTTACACAGTTGAAAAAAATAAAGGAGATAATGTGCTTAAGTTTGCTTAAGTATAGACATATTTTTAACATAATTTAAAATATACTTACTTTAACTTTTCAAAATTCTCAGGCTCTAAACTCCATATTTCTTCTACTTGGGCGCCTCGGCAACCTGAAATGAGAAACTATTTCTTCAGGAGACACCCCACGCATTTTCCCCTTCACCATTAGATAAAATACCAACGGAAAGAAATGCACATTTAGGGGCAATACAACATGTCAAATTAAAATGGTAAAACTGATCAAGTTCACAGTCAAATCCTAGTCCTTTCTTTACTATTTTCTAATTATTTACAAAGGGAGTATATTACTTTGACAACTTTTTCCCCATTTATTTTCACTGACGCACCACCCATGACTGCCCCTTCTCAGGCTCTCTCTATCTCTGGCTCCTCTTCATCCACCCTCTTCACTCAGCTGCTAAGTTTCCACAATTCTGCCCATGGCCCTCTTTCTTCCTCACTGTCCACTTGATCCATAAGGTGGGAATACGTAACTACCATTTAACAGTGACTTTCAGATCACATATTCAGTTCTGATCCCTTTCCAAAATTCTAATACTATACATTTTAAAATACAAATTACTAAACAAATTCAAATTACTATACAAATTCTATACTATACAAATTAAAATTTTAATTTAATGTCAACTACATCAGAGTCCCCCAATGGTTCTCAACCATGATAATCCCCCCTCCCTCGCGGAACATTTCAAAATGTCTGAAGACATTTTTACTGCCACTACTGTCACTTGGGGGGCAGGTAGCATCTAGTAGGGAGAAGCCAAAGATACTGAAGATCCTACACTGCACAGGACAGCACCCAAAACCAGATAATTACTTGGCCCAAAGTGTCAAAACAAAATGAATCATCAAACCCCAAGTGTCTAATCCCAAAGAGGCAAGAGGACCAAGGTGGAGAATCCAGCTCGAGTAGTTCATATCATGGTAATCGTATTCTGGCTAAAACGTGGGCTCCAAATTGCCAGGGTCTGAACCCTCCCTCCATTACCATTGAACTTCTTGCCCCCATACTCATAGAGCTGTTGTGAGGAATGAAGGACATTACTTATTATCTCGTAAGATAATTTATTACGCATGACATACATTCAATACAGCGCCTCCACACACTTTATGGAGAAGGGCATGGCAATTCACTCCAGTATTCTTGCCTGGAGAATTCCATAGACAGAGAAGCCTGGTGGGCTACAGTCCACGCGGTCATAGCCAGGCACGACTGAGTGACTAACACTTTCACACACTTTGAGGGTTCACTAAATGTCAGGTAGTAGTATTATCACAAGAGAAAAAAACAAAAACAAAAAAACCAGTCATATTTACCAGTAACTTCAATGGGTAAAGTGCTTTAAATGGATTTTCTCTAACTCCTACAAAGCAAGTATTATGTGAAAGAGGCTTAGGGATTAGTAGGTGTCTTGCCTAAATTCACTACACTAACATATGCCAAAAAATTAATTAAAACATGTCTGGTTCCAAAGTCTGGGCATTTTTCCAGATTATTTTCCAGTCAGAGCTAGAGAAGCTTTTAGACCAACTGCAAAAATGAATGGTTTAAAAAAAAAATTGGACCAACCAACTCTGTGACTTTGGGCATTTATACCATTTACTACCACAATTTGCTCTGTTCAGCGAATATCTATTAGCACCCACTCAGGCATTAAAGTTACAGGTACGAGGAGAGTTACTATGTTATTTGTGTGTGTTTAGTCACTCTATTGTGTCCAACTCTTTGTGACCCCATGGACTGTAGCCCACTAGGCTCCTCTGTCCACAGGGATTCTCCAGGCAAGATTATTGGAGTGGGTAGCCTATCCCTTCTCCAGGGAACCTTCCTGACCCCGGAAAAACCTGGGTCTCCTGCATTGCAGGTGGATTCTTTACCAGCTGAGCTACCAGGGAAGCCCTCTGTTATTTGTAGTAGAGAAGAACTAGAAACAACCCACATGTGTACAACAGGTACCAGTGTCAGAAAAGGGCACAAAAGGGCAGTGATGCAACTGCTAACACTGGTCATGCTACTGGAAATCTACCGTAAAAAGGCCAAACATTAAGACATTGCTCATATCACACAAAAACACAATGACAAAAGTCACTAAATTAAGAGTCCCAAAATCTTTTGCAAAGGTATAATTTCAAGTGGTGGCACTGTTTAAATAACCTTATGTTAGACACAAGCACATCTCTGTAAAAGGAAAACACAGTACCCAATTCGATGTATAAGGAGATAGATGTTTCTAATCTATCTAATAATATCTAATAATCTCCTCGTGAAAAAGTAAAGTGTTAGTCACTCAGTCATGTCCAACTCTTTGCATCCCCATAGACTGTGGCCCAAAGGCTCCTCTGTCCATTGAATTCTCCTGGCAAGAATAGTGCAGTGGGTTTCCATTCCCTTCTCCAGGGGATCTTCCCAAGTCAGAGATCGAACCCAGGTCTCCTGCATTGCAGGTAGATTCTTTACCATCTGAGCCACCAGGGAAGCCCAATAATCCCTTTATGTACATTCAATTTCAAATAATGCAGGTTATAATGGAAATAAAAATAAGCAATGATTCAAGAGGCCTAGGTTGTAATCCTAGCAATGCCTTTAAGTTCTTTGCCTTTAGCAAGAAAATGTCTTTGAGCCTCACTTTCCTCAAGTTTAAAACGAGAATACTACTTGCTTCATCCAATCCTCAAAATTCTCTAGTGAGGTATACATTCTCAAATACCAAGCACAAAGAATCACCATGCTGACTTCTCTAATATTTATTAAGTAAAATGTTGAGTGGGAGTTGAGCTTTAAAAAGTTAATGAATTGCTGGTATTTAACAAATACATTCAGCACTCAGTATCCATAGGTTCTGTATGCATGAGTCAACCAAACACAGGTTGAAAATACAAGCCAAGCATGGTATTAGGCCCTAACAAGGACAGAAAATAATAAACTACTTTAACAATATTTAAAAACTTCAACCTGGGGTTTTCCCAATGGCTCAGCAGTAAAGAATCCGCCTGCAAGTGCAAGAGATGCAAGTGATACGGGTTCGATCCCTGGGTTGGGAAGATCCCCTGGAGAAGGAAATGGCAAACCACTCCAGCATCCTTGCCTGAACCATCCTACGGACAGAGAAGCCTGGTGGGCTACAGTCCATGGGGTGGCAAACACAAATGAGCACACACAGATACATACAAGAACTTCAACCCAGTAGGAAACAAATATATATATGACTCAAAGACTATGCAGTCTGCATACTTTGCATATGAAAAGTACATGGGCTGCGTTCTGCAAGTTAAGAGGTAGCAGACTACCACTGCAGGTCAGAAAAAAACTTTGAAGAACAGCTAACCTGTGCCTTAAATAGGATAACCAAATAATCTGCCATTCAAACAAGAACACTGCTTTCATCTAATTGATTTTGCTTAATAAAACATTAAATAAAATTTTAATTAATTCATTAAACTGTTTAAAAATATTTATATATTGACAAACACATTTGTACTATCATGCTGGTGGCTCCATAAAATAGCTCTATTGAGAAACTAATTCTAAAAATAATATTCTTTTTTTTTTTCCATTTATTTTTATTAGTTGGAGGCTAATTACTTTACATCATTGCTGTGGTTTTTGTCATACATTGAAATGAATTAGCCATGGATTTACATGTATCCCCCATCCCGGTCCCCCCTCCCACCTCCCTCTCCACCCGATCCCTCTGGGTCTTCCCAGTGCACCAGGCCCGAGCACTTGTCTCATGCACCCAACCTGGGCTGGTGATCTGTTTCACCCTAGATAATATACATGTTTCAATGCTGTTCTCCCGAAACATCCCACCCTCGCCTTCTCCCAGAGTCCACAAGTCTGTTCTATACATCTGAGTCTCTTTTTCTGTTTTGCATATAGGGTTATCATTACCATCTTTCTAAATTCCATATATATATGTTAGTATACTGTAATGGTCTTTATCTTTCTGGCTTACTTCGCTCTGTATAATGGGCTCCAGTTTCATCCATCTCATTAGAACTGATTCAAATGAATTCTTTTTAATGGCTGAGTAATATTCCATGGTGTATATGTACCACAGCTTCCTCATCCATTCGTCTGCTGATGGGCATCTAGGTTGCTTCCATGTCCTGGCTATTATAAACAGTGCTGCGATGAACACTGGGGTGCACATGTCTCTTTCAGATCTGGTTTCCTCGGTGTGTATGCCCAGAAGTGGGATTGCTGGGTCATATGGCAGTTCTATTTCCAGCTTTTTAAGAATAAAAATAATATTCTTAACAATATACCTGAAGTCTTTCTCCCCAAGAAAAATACTCTGGGTAAGCGCTTCCTAACTGTTGTATGTGCTCAGTTGTGTCTCTTTGTGACCCCATGGACTGTAGCCTGCCAGGCTTCTCTGTCCATGGGATTTCTCAGGCAAGAATACTTGCGTGGGTTGCCATTTCCTACTTTGAGGCATCTTCCCAACCCAGGGATTGAACCAGAATCTCTTGTGTCGCCTGAATTGACAGGTGGATTCTTTAACACTAAGCCACTATCAATGACTTAAATTTAATTGACTGCTAGGGATGGTATTTTTCAACAAAGAGCTTGGACACATTGATTGCCAATCCCATGACTGTATAAACAGCTCCACCAGAAGCAGCAGGCATGGCGCCAGCTTCTGCACCTCCCACAAAAAACAGTCCCAGATATCTCTCCCAACCCCATTTTCAGTTATTACATGGCACAGACAAATGCCTTTCAACTGGTGATGTGACAAAATAGGAAAAACTATACGGTCAACTCTGAGGCAATCTCTCCAAAAAGGACTAAACTCAGTTATTGAAAATGAACAAGGAGCCCCAGGTTGGAGGCTATTAACGTATACCCCTCTGGTAGCTCAGCTGGTAAAGAATCCACCTGCAATGCAGGAGACCCTGGTTCAATTCCTGGGTCAGGAAGATCCCCTGGAGAAGGGATAGGCTACTCACTCCAGTATTCTTGGGCTTCCCTTGTGACTCAGCTGGTAAAGAATTCGCCTGCAATTCAGGAGATCTGGGTTCGATCCCTGGGTTGGGAAGATCCCCTGGAGAAGGGAAAGGCTACCCACTCCAGTATTCTGGCCTAGAGAATTCCACTGACTGTACAGTCCATGGGGTCGCAAAGAGTTGGACGCAACTGAGCAACTTTCACTTTCACTCATAAGAAGGTGCCTTTTTGGAGGTCCCAAAGAGTGGAATCAACACTCACTTCCAAGGGTACCACATGCACACTCAACTGTCCTTTTATTTCTTGTGTAAATGCCAGGCATTAACTCACCTCTTTCCCCACAATAACGGACATACACCTTATGAGTGTTTGAAATAGACCTCCATGTAAAGGAAACACCACACTGGCCCTGAAGCCCTCAGATACGCCTCAACTCAAGGGCCAGAGTTGCAGATGATGGAATTGTTTTAGACTTCTTCCCTGCAGACCCAGGTAGGGTCTGTGCGATCACTAATACATACTGTTATGCCTGATTTAATGCCTTAAGCCAAGAGGAAAGACCAATACAAAAACTTGAGAAAGTCACCTGGCTTCCTAGCATAAACACCCCAAGGGATAAACAGGTTTGATACCAGTCCTGCAGGTCCAGTCAGAGTCATCAGAGTAGCTGACGGAGTGGCATGTTTGGTACAGTAAGAAAGGATCGATTGTATTAGAAGACAATCCTCAATCAGTTTCTACTGTTACTGCTTGACTTCTGAGACAGATTATGAGATGTGTTCAGGACTGTCTTTTCAAGAATGTCAAAACAGTAAACAGACTTGAAAGTCAGGGATAGTATCTCCCTATGGGGCAGAGAGAAGACTGATCTGCTGTCCACTGTATCATCTCCCTAGAGTCAAGGTTGAGCAAGTTCGCAAGCAGACCTTGAAGCTGAGGCTCCCCAAGGTCAGGGGTTCCACAGCTCTGACAGAAACTCATGCCTGTGGCGTCCACCTCCACTCCTAAGGACTCGAAGGGTAAGGGCACCAACGCAAACGCGAACGTCCTGCTGACTACCGTGCCATGAGCAATACTATTATTTACCTCTAAAGTTGAACTTGTCTACCAGCATCCATAATACAGTGGCAGGCTCATTTGTTGGCTGGTAAGTAGGCTAAAACCTAACACTTTGTAACTCTTAACAGATGCTGGATTTTTGTCCAATATCTTGCAATTATTGAGATAATCGAATCATATGGTTTTTCTTATTTAATATGGTGAATTACATTGAATCTCAAATGTTAAACCAACCCTGAATTCCTGGGATAAACCCCTCTCACTCATGACATACTGTTTATTTAATATATTATTGGATTTGATTTGCTAATATTTTGGTTAGAATGCTTGTGTCTATGTTGACAATAGATATGGGCCTGCGGTTTCCTTTCTTACAATGTCTTTGTCTGGTTTGGGTGTTAAAATTAATACTGACCCTCATAAAATCAGATGAGGAATATTTATTCTCCAATGTCTTTGGAGAAGTCTGTGTAAAAATGGTATTACTCATTCCTTAAATATTTGCAAGAATTTACTAGTGATTCCATTTTGGCTAGTTTTCCTTGTGGGAAAATTTTAAATGACAATTTCAATTTTTTTTTAAAACACATAAAGGCTATACTGTTTATCAACTACTTCTTAAGTGAGCTTTGGTAATTTGTGTCTAAAGAAATTTGTACACATCAGCTAAGTTGTCAAATTTACTTGCATAAATATTTATTAGACTATTCACTTATCCTTTTAATATCTATAGAATCTGTAATGATACCATCTCTCTTATTCCTGGATATTCGTCATTTTTCTCCTCTCATTTCTTCCAATCAGTCTGACTAGAGGTTTATCCATTTTACTGATCTTTGAGACAACAGCTTTTAGTGTCATTGACTTTCTCCACTATTATTCTCTTTTCTGTTATACTAACTTCAACTCTGATCTCTATTATTTCCTTTTATCTGCTTATTATAGGTTTAATCTGCTCTTCTTTTTCTAGTTTATTGAATGGAAAGCTGGGGTCATTGATTTGCTGTACTAAATCCAGTCCCTGATACTCTATCCTTGCTAGAAGCAGAAATTTACAGCTTTTATTTTTACTTGGTAGACTATCATAGTTTGTTTTACTCAATTTATTAATCATGTATGCACCATATCAATTAAAAATATAGTTCTGTTCCATCAGTTTCTTAATACAAGAACTTTGTTTTACCCTGATGTTATATTCCACCAGAACTTTTAATTATATAATCACTGAACTCACAAATAATTTCCCCTCCAGTGAAGAAACTTAAAACTACAGTACCACCTATAAAATAATAAGATGTTTCAGTTTTGAAAGAATAAACTTCCAAAAGCTTTTTTAAATCCATGACATGAATGAGGGGAAAAAAAAAAGACAAAAATAAACTTTTGTCTCTTTGAAGCAGCTGATAATGATGTACAACTTCCATCATTTAACTTTTGGCAAAGGTCTCCTGATAATTGAGCTAATCTATTAATAACTACCACTTCGCTCTTCACAAGTGCAGGTACAGGAGGTCTGGTTCCTTATCAGTCTCTTACACATGACTTTACTTAAACCACTTTCAATTCCAAGTTTTCTGCACATATGAAAGCGAAGCAACAGCTGTTAATAGAATGGACTAACTTTAAAATAAGCAAATTTGCCTGGTACAACATTTTTTAAGGTTAACTTTAATATGTCATAATAGTTAAGGTTTGGAAGGTAAAAGTTCATGGTTAAACCTGTGCACATTTCAAATTCAGTGTATGTCCAAAGTTGAACCTATTTCCTTATCCATCAAGCCTACTCTTCTCTTTTACTTCACCAGTCTCCAAAGCTAGAAACTAAAGTCATTATCACCTTTCCCCCTTTATCCCACCAGTTAACTGTCCTGTGGACTTAAATAAAGCCAAAATTATTGACTACCTCCTCTCCAAATCACTACTTCATATTGAGCTAACCTTCTCAGATTCTGACCATCTTAAGAGTTTTCTAGTCTCTCACTTCATTCCATGCCAGTGTACTGCACACTACATGTAGTAAATGCTTTTCAATTATAAAAATGTCATTTCAGCATTGAAATATCTGACAGTTAAGTCCCCAGGGATTACAGGCCAATCCACACAACACAGTATGGCAGACAATTGGGCCTCAGTTTATCTTTTCAAATAGAGGGATTCAAATATTCCTCTAATCTGTTACACTGTTTTAGTCACTTCCCCAGCCACTTCCCCGGTGGCACTAGTGGTAAAGAACTGAGCTAATGGACAGGACTGAGCAGCTGTTCCCTAAGCCATACACTTTAATATATAATAAACTACTGTTTATGCCTTTCCTTCTGCCTGTGTTCTTCCAGGACTTGTGTGTAAATACTCTAAGGCAGCAGTTAATACACCATTATATACTGCTTGTCAGTTCTTCAGCAGCCCTGCTTTATTCACACTAAAAATGCCGAAACCCTAGGAATGTGTCCGAGATATACAGTAGGTAAACAATATATGCGTGATAAATGGCATTTCAAATAGCTATGTACAACAAACAGTGGGCTTCCCAGGTGGTTCAGTGGGAAAAGAACCTGACTGCAACGAAGGAGACGCAGGAGATATGGGTTCAATTCCTGGGTCGGGAAGATCCCCTGGAGGAGAGCATGACAACCCACTCCAGTATCCCAGCCTGGAGAATCCCTTGGACAGGAGCCTGGAAGGCTACAGTCCATGCGGTCACAGAAAGTCAGACACAACTGAAGCGGCTGAGTACGGACGGATGACAAACAGTATACAATGTTGAATTTCAACCTTCAGTACAATTTTTAATAACATGGTAGCTAAAATGAATAATACTTGAAAAAATGTAACAGATAAAAATAAACTTACTGCCAAAGTAGAGAACAGGGAACAAGAAGAGCAGAGAAGGCCACCAAGTCGAATACGATGGTTACTTGGGACCAGAGACAAGGAATAGAGTCAGAGAGCAATTAAGTGGCAAGCATGTGGCCTCTAGAACACTCGCTGGAGAAAGCACACTTTGCCGGAAGCCACAAGCGAGCAGAAGGAGCCAGGTGGCCCGCGCGTCCCTTGTAGCCAGCCCGCGCGGACGGCTGCAGCGCCGATCACACACATTCGGCAGGTTCTGCTTCGATGACTCGGATGTCAGGTTCCCGGGCAGCTTGGGGCCCTGGACACCCCACCCTCGACAAGGCACACCTGACTTTTTCTGCAGGACCGATGCCCTGAGACGCGCACCTGGACACACCTGCCCGGGATGGGGGCGCCCCGGGGTGGAAAGAAGAGGCTTCCAAGGCGTAAAGTGGCGGCCGGGACGGAGGGCTCGGGCCAGCGAACCTAGTCCTGGAGCGTCGAATGCCGGGGACACGTTCCTGTCCCCGAGGTGTGGCTCTCAGACCGCCACGGAAACGCGACTTGCCGGGCTGAAGCCCTACCTTTCCCTCGCCTGTCCCCGACTCAGGGTTCGGGAGTCGCCTCCCTTCAGATGCCAGGCGGCCGGAGCCGCAGAGAAGCGCTGGTGCCCAGCTTCGGCCTCCTCCCGTAACCCCCCACCGGCCCAGGACAGCCCCCCTTGGCTCTCACCAAATCCTTTAATAAGCTCGGTGAAGACCCCGGGGTCGCTCTCCATGAGGCACCACTCCCCGGCATTGCCCGTCATGGCCCCGGCCGCGCGCCGCCCCGCTCCACCTCCGGCTCCGGGAGCCCCCGGCCCTCGCTCCTGCCACCGCCGGCCACTGAGCTCGGCAAACCCGCCGCGGGCTCGTCCACCTCACGTCACCCCGCCTACTTCCCGACAGCCTCCGCGGCGCCGTCACCTGGAGCGCGACAGAGCGCGGGCGGACGCTCTAGCCACCGGGGAGCCGGCGAGACTCTCCCTGCGCAGCTCAGGACCAGGAGCCGATTCGGAAGCGGTGGGGGGCGGGCGAACTGGGCAAAAGCCGAGAAAGGGCGGGGCCTGGGGCCCCTGAGGAGGGACCATCCGGGCCCCTCGCCAGTCTGGGGCAGGGGCGGGGCGCGGCCGGGGGGCGGGGCTCGCGCCCGGGAGCCGAACACCGAGGCCCCGGCGGCGGCCCCGGAGCGGTAGTCGCCCGGCAGGCCGCGGTGCGTCGTCGTCTTACGGCGGCGGCGCGGTACCGCGCAGCGCTTCTCCCGGTGGCGCGGCGGCTTCGGAGGTTCGGCCGCCTGGCAAAGGTGAGGGAACCGCGGGCGGCCGACTGACCGCGGCCCTTTGTGCGGTCTGAGCGGCGCGGGGTGGGGGTGGGGGACGCGCAGTGTCCGGCCGGTCCTCCGTGGCCCGCGCCCGGCATCTCCGCGGCCGGAGCAGACCGCCTCCCACCCCGCCTCGGGGCTCTGCGTGTCTCGGGGGTGGGGGGGCGGAACTGGCCGCTCCGTGAGCCTCCTCGCTGGACCGGACCCTTCCGGAAGACCGGACCCGTCCCGGTGCTGCTTGCGGAGCTTCCCGCCGGCCGACGTGCTGAGGACCCGCTTTCCTCCTCCTCCTCCTCCCTCCTCCCTCCTCCCGCCGCTGCTGCGCCGAGAGGCGTTGCCCGGCCTGCAGTCTTTGAGGACAAGGATCTTTGTGAGAAGACCCAGGACGAGTTTGTGCTGGGGGGAATGACGAGGGAGAGGAGAAGAATCTGTCCTATCGTCCATCGGGGGTGATAGACAAGTGCTGTGCAATGCCTCCAAGGCACAGGAGGTTGAAAAATGTAGTGTGTTAAATCTGAAAACTCGTATAGTGGTCCTAAGACTAAAGGATGCATTGGATCAAAAATGGCTGTCTTCACTAAATCACGAACAGCCCTCCTTCACCAAGGCCTTGCAGAATACTGATGTTAAGATAAAGTCTTTAAGAGTGGTAGTACTTTTGCATCACTCAATAAACCTGAGTTCCAGGAGGGGCCCTTGACTTTCAAGGGAAAAAAATCTTTACTTGGTAGAACTCTGATTGTTTGCTTCTCAACTTGGTGGACCTGGAATAAGGGAACCTTGTCCTACAGGGCTGTGTGAAGCCACAAAATAAACGTGATAAATTTTATTGAGAAACAACGGGACAGCTTTAATATTAAGACAGACATGGGTGTATTATGGAGTAGAAGCCCGAGTTTGTGTCAGGTGTTGGATTTAAAAAAATTTTTGGAAACTTTCTTGGAAGTTTATACCTGAGAGACTCTGTCCTCGAGCTGGTGGGGCGAGGGGGGCGGAGTTCTGCTGCTGCTGCTGCTAAGTCGCTTCAGTCGTGTCCGACTCTCTGCGACCCCATAGACGGCAGCCCATCAGGCTCCGCCGTCCCTGGGATTCTCCAGGCAAGAACACTGGAGTGGGTTGCCATTTCCTTCTCCAATGCGTGAAAGTGAAGTCGCTCAGAACTCCCCAGAGAAGGCAATGGCAACCCACTCGAGTACTTTTGCCTGGAAAATACCATGGACGGAGGAGCCTGGTAGGTTGCAGTCCATGGGGTCGCAAAGAGTCGGACCCGACTGAACATGGTGCCTGTTGTAGAGACCAAACTGAAACTTAGCCCTTGACAGAACCTATAAGTAATCAGAAAAAGGAAGGGGGTCAAATTTCCCTAGTTACACTGTTAACATTTAATCCTAAGAGTTCACATAAAAATCCAGATTTCTGGGTCTTTGGGCAAAATGAGAGGATCTGGAACTACAAGGCCCTTATTACATGTTGACCAGTTGGCTGAAAGTGCATGTCTTCAGGATCTCATGCTGTTATGTCTCCTACTGTTCCTCACCGATTTTTATTGCATCACACTTGACTTGATCCACTCATGTCCATTACCAGTCTGAGTGATAACAGTTATCTGAACATGTGGCCCCTGGTTTTGCAGTATTCCCTCTTTTTTGAAACTATCTTGCTCTAATAGGTGTAAGTCAGTTTTGACTTCATTTAAAAAGGAGTAAGCTGCAAACTTATTTGACCTCTTGGGATAAAAGGGAGCCTTTTCAAGTAACAAATGATCAAGAGACTTTGGAAAGATACTTAGATGTGTACTTTCGAGAAAAACGTAGGAATCCTTAGAAAACGTGTATTAATAGCATTATTAAAAAGTACTATAGTTGTTCTTGTCTGACTCTTTGCAACCCCATGGACTGCAGCACACCAGGCTTCCCGTCCTTCACCATCTCTTGGAGTTTGCTCAAAACTCAGGTCCACTGAGTCAGTGATGTCAACCGTCTCATCGTCTATTGTCCCTTTCTCCTGCCTTCAATCTTTCCCAGCATCAGGGTCTTTTCCAGTGAGTCAGCTGTTCGCATCAGGTGGCCAAAGTGTTGGAGCTTCAGCTTCAATAGTTGTTCTAATTCCAGTGAATAAGAAGCAGAAATAAATGCTATTACATACTGTGAATTACTAGCATTCATTGATTTGGCATTCAAAATTAGGAAAAAGAGAAGCACAACCGATTTCAAAGTGTGGCTGTGCTTTTAGTGATATTGTGATTTGTTTGCGTCCCCAAATTTTAATTTATAGAAGTTTAATAAAACTTTAGCTGTATTAAATTTCTTTGGAGGGGTGTGCTTTAAGAATACTGGGTGTGTCAGTCCAGCTGAAAGAATTAACTATCTTTGTTAATCTGGATTTACAACACTTGTATGTTCAGGAGTGGATTAACTGATGACCAGGCTCTGACCTAACTCCCTGCCCAACTGCCTTCTAAACCACTGACATTGGAGCTTAAGCTTTGAGAAGGGGGATGAAAGCAGTTGGGGAAGGAAGAAATTAAGGTCCTATATGTGTGTGTGTGTGTGTATAACATACACATATGTGTTTATACGTATCAGTTCAGTCACTCAGTCGTGTCCAACTCTTTTGCAGCCCCATGGACTGCAGCACTCCAGGCTTCCCTGTCCATCACCAACTCCCAGAGCTTGCTCAAACTCATGTCCATACAGTCAGTGATGCCATCCAACCATCTCATCATACACACACACACACACACACACACATTTTTACATGTATATATATGTACACATATGGGCTTCCCAGGTGGTTAAGTGGTAAAGAATCTGCCTGCCAGTGCAGGAGACATGGGCTCAATCCCTGGGTAAGGAAGATCCCCTGGAGAAGGAAATGGCAACCCATTCCAGTATTCTTGCCTGGGAAGTCCCATGGACAGAGGAGCCTAGCATGCTACAGTCCATGGGATCACAAAAGAGTCGGTCATGACTTAGCAATTCAACAACACCACACACGGATATATATATGTCCATGTGTATCTCAAATTGCTTTCTAAAGACAAATATAAAAAGTAGGGATAAATATCATTTAAATGCTTATCTTTTTAAATAACTTCCCAAATATCTTTTGCCTAGTCAATTAAAAAATTTTTTTTAAATAACATTTTTGAGATAGACTTCACAAATCCCATTCAAGGAGTTTTAGTATATTCATAGAGTTGTCGCACACACATACAGAGTTGTATAATCGTTACCACTATCTAATTTCATAACATTTTCATCATCCCCCAAAAGAAACCCCTTACACTTTAGAGAAGAATCTAGCACTTCCACAAAAGGTTAAATATAGAGAGATCATACGATCCAACATTTTATATTCCACCAGCGGGGTATGAAGGTTCTAATTTCTCCAGATCCTCACCATTGCTGCTTATTATTGTCATTTTGATTATAGCCATTCTAGTACATGTGAAATGGTATCTCATTGCAGTTTTTATTTGCTGATGACCAGTGATATTCAGCATTTTTTGTGTGTTGGCCATTTGTATATCTTCTTTAAAGAAATACCTATATAGACTCTTAGCCTATTTTTTAATTGGGGTATTTATCATTTTATTATGTAGTTATGAGTGTTCTATATATTATAGACACAAATTCTTTGTCATATGTATGACTTGCAAATGTTTTCTCCCTTTTTCTGGGATGTCTCTTTGCTTTCTTTGTGGTATCTTTTGAAACACAGTTTTAAATTTTGATGAAGGCCTGTCTGTTTTTTTTCCTGTTTTCATTTACGCCTTTGGTGTCTGTGTTTTGAGATCAATTCTCTGATGTCACCTCAGTGTCTTACAGTTCATTTCACCTCAGTTCCATTCCAGAATGCAGTTCCATCAGATCTCCCAAGTTAAAGGGCAGGAACCCCAACAGATTGCCCTTCCTTCAGACAGCAGCTTCTGGGAGGGCCCCAGTCTCCCCACACTTCTGCCTGCCCAGGTGGGCGTCCTGCAACCCTCTCAGGGTCAGTAGTTCACCTGGATGGCACAACTCCCTAAAAGCACCAGCCTTATGGTTACAGTTTTATTTAAAAGGACGCAGTTCAGGAACAGCCAAATGGAGGATACGCCCAGGCCAGTCTGGAGGCAGCAGCAGGATCCCTTCTGTTTGTGCGATCCTGGCACGTCACCCCACCAGTACTGACTTGGCGTCTGTGCTGAAGTTGGGGGTCCGGAGTTTGTGTGTGGGGGCCTTATGATTAAGCAGGATTGATGAATTCGTTGACCGCATGGTTGAGCCCAGTGTGCTGCTGTCCTCCCCTCCTGGGAGGATGATCTGGTCCAGAGTTCCAGCCTTCTAATCAGAGGATTGGTCTTTATGGTGATCCCATCTGGAAGCAATCCAAAGGCCCAGAATGAGCCCTCATTAGCATAACAAAGACACCCATCAATCAGGATATTGCTAGGTTTTTTGTGGG